CTGGACTCTGTCAATAACCGATTTCAGCCACTTATATCCGGTACCGCGTGGATTATATTTAAGCATGAGGATGAAAAGTGACTTGAGCATGGGCCGCTTTGTCTTCAAATTCATTCGTTTCCGAATCGCAACGGTTCGGTTCTGGAGAACGATAGTAGTCATCCAGATTCGCCGGTCAACTTCTTCCTCCCATTTTCCATTCTCAGTATCACGGCCATGAGGAATGTGAAATTTACCTGATCCGCTGTTCCTTTGCTTATCGGCAGAGAGTGACGGACAGAGAATTACTATTTTGATTCGAAGCATATTGCGACTACATCAAGAGGTATAAGAAACAAAGATGAATTGATCACAGTATGAAATATCCTTAGAATGCCATTGCTTATCTTGACTCCAGTCTCAATAGTTTGTGCTGAAAATTTAAAGCACGTGCTATGAGCATAATTTAGAATAATTTATCTTGCATCATTATATACAGTTTACTTGTAATAAAAATAAGTATCAAAAGGAACACGTTTCATAGATATCGCACTGTCTTCGAAATCGCCGTCACCACGGCCAACAAGGATCCGGGCATTTCTGAATGAACGTTTGGATCTCGCCGGAGTCAGTGTCCATAATAGACGTGAAAATAGTCAATTTGTTGAGGGTCGTCGGTGAGGATAAAACCTGCAGGATACCGGTAAAACTCAGATTTTCGCGGCCCAGCTTTTCCATGCACTGCTTTCCAGGTGTTCTGCGGTCGTCCAAGTAAAATGGCTCTTTCCAGGAGTCAGTATTCGTTTGCAGCAGGTACCAGCCGTTTTTTTCAGTCGGGTGCAATTCCTGTTCATCCACGACCTTCGTGCGCGATCTCGTTATTATCACTCCTTCGCCTAAAATTTTGACTTTTACATAAACTGTAAGATAACAGACGGACTTTGGAAAATTCACATGAAATTTTCTACTCAGAGTAGACGGTAACAGTAATAACTACCGATCTTATTTTTTATATAGAACAGCATTACCCTTTGCTTATATATTTGCCCCGGATAGTGGTATTTTGATGGTGCTCGAACGTTGTTCCAGCGTCGTTGTTCAGCCTACCTCTGAGATGCGGTCCGGCACCTGATGCGCTGCGAGTGTTCACGTAACATGGAGCTGTAGCCTGCTAAAGAATGGTTCCCAAAAGTGGCTCGAAACAAGATACTTTAACGCCTAGTAAATCGGATATTATGATTTGAAATGGCATAATTACCGACGGAATTGAAGGGATATCATGTGCGGTAGTTACCTCAGAACATGGGAGTTGTTGTTCTTGTCTGAGGTATCAAGGTAAGGACCAAGTGCTCAGATTAATGATATTTGTATTGAATCTGGGCTATATTTTGTTGAAATGTTCATACGCTCAGTTGAGAGAGAATCGTATTTATTGATGGAGTTATTTATTTCGTTGAATTTATTGATGGAGTTTATCAGACGTCGACAGGGCGTTCCGTAAGTTTTATTTTTCAGTCACCATGTCGCTTCAGAATCGTGCACACCATCTTTTGATTATGCCTCCTTCATAACTTAACGCCAGCAGTTGTCTTGGCCAACTTGCAAAATATAGCTGCAGAAAGGTCATTGCCCAAGAGAGAAGAATCTAAATAAAATGACGAAAGTTTTTCCAAACTTTCAGAGGTCCTTAGGAAGCCCTTCCCGTACTTTTAGTGGCTGAGGAGCGCATAATCAGCCAATTTCACCTTGCCATTGTTTCGTATATTAATTGCTGCTCGCTGCTTGCGTCGCGAACTCTGAGGCTGGATTATTGAGATTCAATAATAACGGTAAAACTACATCTTCATTAGCGCGTTGGCGGTAAAGTCTGTCATTTGGTTCCTTCTCTCTGTTAGCCTTAATAATTAAGGATGTCAAACAGCAATTTAAAAGCCCAGTAATTATTTGCAAACGTAATTTCATTGTTGCACGGCTTTTAATGACATTCAATGAACCTGCTCCCTATTAGGTCGTAAGTACCGGTCTTACAACATAATTCACTCTAATTTAATACACATCTTATAGCCCTTTGCGCCGTTCACCACTCTCCACTGAGCCACCGAT